TACTGCAGAGTTTTTACCGTAAAGCACCTTGAGGCAACTGTTGTTGTGTTTTGGCGCTGTATAAATAAACTTGAATTGAACTGAAGAAGCTTACATTTAAAATAAATCACATTGTTTGTGCACTAGAAGACCTAATGATCAGTGGAATTATTCTTTCAGACAACACAGACAGTGAATGCAATCTCTTCCCACTTTACTACAACATCATTTAGAGTCAGTAGCTTATTAAAAAGGAGTAAATTCAGCTGAAACAATAATGTTTTATTATTCACCCTTACCTCTATCAAAAAATGGAGGTAAGAGGAAACAGGTGAGACCTTTGTACGAAATAGCTGTATTGTCAGATGACACCTACTTATGGAAGCTCCTTCCACCACTGAACAAAAACCCAAACTTTTTTGCCATCTGTATCAAACTTGAGATAGCAATTAAACGTTGACAAGCTTTCATAATACTTGACTGAAGTTTCGTATTGGCTTTATTTATTTTAAATGTAAATATTGTCTCGCCATGTCTTAGTGCTGTCCTGCACAAGAAAGGAATCTCTAACATTGGAAAATATATATTTTTTTAGTCAGGCCAATCATTCTTAAATGGACATATGGACATGAAAAGTGTGTGGCAACTCTACACAAGCACCTTTTTCTTTGAGATAAAACATACTTAGATCAAATAAAATGTTAACTTTAACTAGGATGCACACAACTGACAGGGTGACACTTTAAATCTGTGGCAAGTTAAAAAAAAAAAAAAAAGGGGCCTCTTTACCATCAGTTCTGACAGCAAACCAGACTGAAGGCAAACTGGAGCATTTGAAAACATAAAGCATGACAGGTCTTTTTATTTGGACCCTGACCCAACTCCTTTAGCACCAACAGATGGGAGAACAAAACTATACGGCTGACAATTCATTATCTGATTGCAACACAGATTTTAGCCCAAAAGGTATATTTTACATTTAGAAAGTTTAGGAAAGGGTTCTACATCTTATGATGGTGAGAGCAGGCTCAAGCTTTAATAAAACACATTTTCTTCTCCCATTTGGAAACACGGCAGCCGGAGATTCCTGTTCCTGTCTGATAATTCCTGTGAAGCAGAGAAACTCTGAATGTCATCTCATTTATCTGTGAATTTTTGGGAAAACGTTCAATGACAATACAAATGATTTAAAATATGCAAATATTGTCTGTTGAGAATGTCAGTCTGTTAGAGTAGCAGGAGCTGTTTAAAAAACCCAAAAAAAACAACAAACAAAACCCTTGTATGCGAGATAAAGACAATAAATCAAATAGAATTCAGACATTCAAATTATTTCTCTTGGACCTACAATGACCTTTGTTGCATTTAGTGCATAAAGTTTTATAGTCTCTACTCCACCATTTATTTCTTTTCCAGTCCTCCAGCAAAATGATGTGCTCTTTAATGTATATGTTAAGTCTTTTTTTTGTACAATCCAAGCAGAGAGGTGCTGCTCTTAGAAAAAGTCCGATGCTTTCCGTCTTTTGGGAAGCTGCAGCAGATTGTCTGTGAGCGACGTGACGTCCTGAGATTGGAGTCTTTGCTTTGTTTGGCGTTGGCGTTCCCGAAGGAGTCGCCGGGCCCCGAAGGGAGACTTGCATGCAGCGAGTCTGTGTGAGGGTGATGGGTGTAACTTGCTCGCAGTGCTTTGTCTGTGTATTTGCTGGAAGTCCGATTTACGAGCCGTGCAGGGCAGGCGAAAGGGCCGGGCTCAAACCTTTAGGCGTCAGGCTGCAAGACAAAGAATATAATGTTAGTTTCATTTCTTCAAGACTTCACAACTTTAATTCTGGTAGAAATGAAATGACAGACGCAGTGAGCATCAATACCTGCAAGGTTCTCTGTGACTTTTCGTAACGCTTCCTGTTTCTTTGCACGGTTCTTAGCGGCAGCCTCGTTGGCCATCTTTAAACCAAGCCTTTCTCGTCTCCCTGGTTCTGGGATCTTAACAAAGGTAATTAAAGTCAACTATTTTACTTAAACAATTACAAATTAACCATCAATCCACCTGTAAATTCTCAGCACCTTAAAAGAAGGTCCATGATTCCTCTCAACATACGGGGTGTCTGATCCATCCAGACGAAATGGTGTGCTCTCGATCTCACCCCAGGTCATCAGAGGTGACTCAGCTACACCTGAAAGGACAAATGCATTAAGAGATCTAGTGCCAAAGCAGCTCCAAGCTGATTGTGGAAACAGATACTTTGGTATTCATGTTTTATCTGCTGTCTATCAAATACCACAATCGCTAACAATGAGAGGGGGGGGCTTGATTTTGGCAGCAGGCGAAGCGAACAGACGAAACGTAGTCACATCACGTCTTTGATAAGGAAACAGTTCAATGTGGTAAACTTTTAATTCTTTAGCTGCCCCAGTCAGATAATGGAACAGGTCTGTTCTATGCAAAGCACAATAATAAGATTACTCACCAGGTGCAGGTGAAGGAGTTTTTACGTAACCATATCCATTCATTGATGGGGATTCATGTGGGATAAGCTCTTTCCCATCAGGACCTACTTTACCCTGTTTGAACTACAGAAACAACACAACATATGTTCTGCATCATCAAGAAATCCACTTTTTTGCCTCCCCTACCTCCATTTGAACAGACTGGCAGGCAGTGCAAGCACTTCATTCAGAAATAAGTGGCACATAAAGGCAACGACAGTCATTGTTTTAAATACAGTATCACATTAACAACACCTACCTGTGCATTGAGAGCTGCTGCCTGCTGAATCTGGCTCTTGTTGAGAGCTTTGCTGAATGGGTCTCCAACAAAGCGAGTGTTCTTGTGAACCACCTCCCTTGGTTTCTTGAAGATGGCATCATCATCTTTAACACCTGATTTTAAAAAAGGAAGAAAATAATAATAATTGTAGAACAAAATAAAAACCTCACTCACTGACACACACAAGTGAATTTAGCCAATTTTGCAAATTCACACAACTACCGACGCTCAAGCCTCCTACCCTCTGGATAATACATCAAGGCATTCTTGGCTTTGTACTCCCAGGTCTCCAGTCCAGCTTTGGTGCATTCGAGTGCTGCCTTCTCTACTGATGGTAAGGCAAGGTTCTGCTCATGACGCTGGAAAACAATCACAAGCTTTTATAAATGATTTGAATGCAGCCAAGAGGTAGGATCTATTAACACTCACCTAAGTCTATTTGGTGACTCAGTTTAGCATGTTTTAGGTGAGTGGTTTACTACTCAGGGGCAGGGATAGCTCAGTAGGTAGAGTGGTGGCCCCATGATCGGAAGGTCGGGGGTTCGACTCCACTGAACGGCTACCCTGAGGTACCCTGAGCAAGGTACCGTCCCTACACACTGCTCCCCGGGCGCTGCACTGGTGGCTGCCCACTGCTTCACTGGGTGAATGGGTTAAATGCAGAGGAACTATTTCCCTATGGGGACTAACACGCACACTTTACACTTTTACTTTACTCGACAAGCCTGTTGCTCTTATTTTGAAAGACTGTGAAACAAAGACTCCTGTTAGGAGTCTATCTTTAGAATAAGGGACTCATACTCATCCTCTTCAACTCCAAACTCTTCTCAGAAGTTACACTACGTCACACTAGCTTTACCTGGTGGAGTGACTAAAGTTTATTTACATTTATTTTGTCTTTTGGTTTTTTTTTTAAGGAGTTCTGCACAAGACTGTCTTGGTAAAAATCTTTATAAAAGCAATCTTCTGTTTGTACAGTAGCATCTGGGAAATAGCTTCGTGTTCTTGTTTATTGGCAGCTGACAAAGCTTCTGGGTGCACTAATGTCACCTTCTGGTGGCACAAGTCTATTACGTCATACCAGACATGAGTTTCTTTTTTCTTGTTTTAAAAAGAATGGAAAATGCTGTTTATCCTTTAAGACAAGAAACAGCTGCACAAAGTATTTTTTTAAGCAATGTAACTGCTATTAAAGGGGGGAATAAATCCTGAGTATAATTTAATTAGTTAGTATATAATTAGTTAGTATATATACTAAGTGAATATATAATGCACCTCTACCAGAAGGAAGTGGTATTAATGGTCCTACAAACTGTTCGCTGACCACCATGCGATGAGCAAATAGAAGAAGCAACACATTAGCTTCCATTTGCTGGCAGATAAAAGGCGTGTGGCACATTCAGATGCGATGCTACTATATAAAACAGGGGAAACATGCAGAGCCAAAGAGGACTACAGCCTGAAAAACAAAACAAAAAAATCTGGTTCACCGCAAACTCCACCAGGTAAAGCTAGAGTGAGCAATCTCAAAAAAACTGTTTCTAGTTTTTGGTGAATAACAATTCTAGTTTAAATGGTCATCCCTAACATACGTGCTCCACATCACCACAAATTATGAGTTTAAGTCTGTGGGAAACTAATGCAATGATTTAAATACTTTTACAAGTTTTTGCGATAAATTGACACTCGTGAACATATGAAAGCCCAGAAAACAGATCAGCACACCTGCATTTACACAGCTAACCATCCATACCTGTTTGAATTCAGCTTCAGCCTCATACAACCAGGCATGCTTCAGTTTCTCCTTGTCTTTTGCCAGATCCATTATCTGTTCAAAGGATGCATTATCCTCACTGGTATTCTTAGCGAGGAAGCGGTCCAGGCTGGGCAGATTTTGTTCTTCTGTGTCGTCAGCCCTCTTCTCTAGAAAAAAAGAAAAAATACCAATAATTTCTCATAGTCGATCAATTTAGTGCCAAACATGTTAACCACTAATGAGAAACAGAATGGTATACAATATGGGAAAGCATGTAAATGTCAAAAGAAGGATTAACAGCGAGACGTGGATGTGAAGCTTTAACAAATTACACATTTACTGCATGTCGTTATGTGTTCATCACCCTGCTTACTTACCTCCATCTACAGCTTTAGCAGAATAAGTGGAAGCAGGGGATCCCAACTGGCCCACTGGTGTTTCAAAGCTAGCAGGCGTCACATCTTACACAAACAGAAGAGAAAGAAAAAATTTGAATGAGAAAAAAAACACCTGTTGAATTCAAGTATTTTATCATTAACAAGTATTTTACTTGGAGAACACATAATGTCTTATTTAATTCCACTTCACTCACATGGTGCAGAAGACTGCGGTGTAGATTTTGTCAACGAAGATCCGTATCGGATGGAAATTTCTCTCATCCTCTCCAGGTCTCCATTTTCCTCTGCTTCAAGATATTCCTTCTGTGCCTGCAGCTTTGTCACATCTGGGAAAAAGTCCCTCTGGATAATTTTCTCTAAGCTCTGTCAACAAAAACAAAACACAAGCAGAAGGTTAATACAGAGGACATATTACCAGGAAATATGGGCTTATGGCACATAGAGATGTGTTCAGATGTTTACATACACTCATCATGGGCATGGATGTCATGGTAATTTTAGTCTTAATTTTTTTTTTGAATAGTTTGTTTCCATGGTGCAATTACTGCACAGTACACGACTTTAATCAATTAAAAAATTAACAACAACAAAAAAACAAGAGTGTACACATTTGAATTCACTTTGGATTTTCTCTAATTCAAACAGGGTTAGATATATGTAAACAGGTTCAATATATACACACACTAAAATCTTTTGAGTGTTGCTAAAGGTTTAACAAAGCCAAAACAAGGGCAAGGACACAACAAGGACAAAACTTTGTGTAACTGATCACGACTGACTACAACTGGTATTTTCTCTTCACCAGCATAGAAAGGATTTGTTTGACTGTAGTCACTGGATTGACCAATACGCAGAACAATGGGAAGGTCCAGTGAACACAATGAAGATCTAAGAATGAGAAGTTTAGATTTACACAAGTTGCAAAGATCTCTTGAATCCATTTCTAAACAACTGCAGATTACAAGATCATCATTTCAAATAACTGTACGTAAAAGATTAACAGATGTGTCACCACTTTGCAGAGGTCTTAAAGAAAATCCAAACTGTCAACCTCAGATGACAGGAAATTGGTTAGGCTGTTCAGGAACAACCCTGTAACCACCAAGGCATAAAACCTGCCATGAACTGAAAACTGCTGAAGAAAAAAAAAGTTTTTCCACTCACTGTGGACCAACTGGGAGCTGACCAAGAAAGAAGCCTCTGCTCTAAAATCGATACCTTTAAAAACTCGACTTAAACTTGTTGCTGCCCACATGGAGAAGCCAAATGCCTTCTGGAGAAAGGTTTTATGGTCAGAAGTGACAAAGTTTGAGCTCATTGGCCACAATGTCAAGAGTTACATTTGGAGGACTAAAGGTGAGGTTTCCAAACAGAAGTTACGAAGGTAATTATGGTTCTGTGAATTCCCAGAAGACTGCCAGTGACAATAAACAATGCAGCTATGTCTTCTTGTGCTCAGTGCAGGTTGAGATTTCATATAAACAAAGTCAACTGTGTGACCTGTAGGCTACCTACGCGTGTACACCATAAAACCCCCCCGGTACCCTACATCCGATCTCTATAAATGTTCTTGCACTGAGATGCTCCAAGTGAACTGCATGACTGGCAGTTATCTGGGAGTTCACAGAACCGTGGTAACTTTTGTAACTTTAATTAGGTTTCTTTCCCTCCTGCCTACAGAAGTTGCAGTAAACAATGAAGATGACTTATACTAGCAGTGTCGTGAGGAAAAACTTACTGGTCAGCCAATGGCAGAATAGTTGAAGCTTGAGTGGGTCCTGAGACCAGATTAAGTCAGGTGACCCTAGCAACCGTGTAAGGCACTGCCAAGGATTCTGCTGCACAGATTTCCCCTCATGGAACACCTCGAATTACTGCCCAGGCAATGTTCCTGGTAGTGTGGCAACTAATATCTGAAGAGACTTTTTGTACATCTGTTTTACTGTGTCAACAATCTGGTGGGAAAGCTGTTTTGGCAGAGCTTTTCCCTTTTTCTTACAAATATAACATATAGCCCTGCTCTGAGCTTAAACTCTGAGTTGCCACAGTATACAGACACACAGGACCCCACTCACCAGACTGAGGAGTGTGGAGAACCAGATCCTTGATGGCCATCTAGGTCCTATCAAGAGACCCTGTGGTCTGACTGCCCCACTGTGTGAAACAGTAGCATTATTAAAAGACCCTCTGGATGGCATTGTGGCAATGGGCTGTGTGCTCCAACACAAGAAAATTTGTAAAACTTGTGGACTGCGGTTAAAGCCACGTCTGTGCCAGGAACCAAATCAGTTTAAATGAACTCTAACAATTCTTCTAAGAAGAGTGATCTAATATCCAGCTAGATTTATTTAGGGCTTTTTGATAGCTACTTAAGTGTCTCGTCGTGGTGCAACTGGTTAAACAATTTTTAACCAAATATTTTCGGGGTATAAGCATGCCATTACCATGCTATTCATGTAAATTTAGTAACTTAATCCTTACTTGAGCAATTTGCTATTGCACTTTCATATCGTGAAGTACTGTCATAACAAGCACCTTACTTTAAACCTATACGTAGATTTGATAAGTAAACACGTTTTCCACACTGACTGCATAATATTTGGAGCTGTTATACACTTCTATGTCTGTCCAGACTAGTACAATAAAGTATTTAGTCTAAAGAAATGTAGCTGTGTTGTACATTACCTGCCTGCTAACTTACAGTTGTTAGCTAACACAGTCGCGCCTGTCTATGTCTGCTATTATTTACCTCAATGTATTCCTCCTCATCCAGGACGTTTCTCTTCAGCGTTCCCTTCTCCTCATCCTCTGGTTGCTGTTGAAGAGCCACTGTTGAGACCGCCAAAGGGACGAGAGTCCCGGACAGTGCTTTCCTCACGCTGGCGCTGCCCTCCATTGTGGTCCCTGTTAGCCTCCTAGCCAGATGGCTAAATAATCTTCTACTACAAATAGCGACGAAAATTAAGCTATTAGAGGGTGTTTCTTTCAGTGGGTTAACACCGTTTAAATAGTTAACCAACAACGTAAAAACCCGATACTTAAAAATGCCCAACGCCACCAACTCTAACACGTTAGCTGACTTTTAGCCACCAGCGTACAAACAACGCACAGCCGAACAATTACGTCACCGGAAATTTACGGCTTCGCTAGAATTTTCCAAAATAAACCCTGAAAGCCAACAGCGGTTTGATAGTTCGCAGACCTTAACTTAAATAAATAAAAAAAATAATAAAAATATTTATATATATAATTTTTAAAAAGGCTTTATATAGTTTTTGTTTCATGAAATACACTTACACTCCATTTACAGTACAGAAGACAAACTCTAGTGTCATGTCTCACAGTGGCTTTACAAAAGCACAAGACCTTCACATGTGGAGTTTTTAGTGCCTAACAATTTAATAATTTTTTTATATATTTATTTACAGTGTAAACAATTAGTCAGAAGTGATTTAAACTTTTGAAACATTTTCATGCCTGTCATCACCAGAAACGAACAACATTTTGTGGGAAAATTTATATTAGACATACTAAACATATTAATGACTTCATTGTAATTTTCAGATATAGCAAACCATCCACTGAGCCATGTTGGACTCTTTGGCGGGCTAGTTCTGACCCCCTGGTCGTTTGTTTGACAAAGAAATGCTAAAGAAATCGATAAAGTAAGGCGTTAAAATTCTATTAAAAAAATAAAAAATAATAATAATAATACCGTAATAATAATAAGTTAGCTGCGTTTTCTATTGGTGGCACAAAAAAGGCATTTCTTCTTTTCTTAAAAAAATCCCCAGACAACTGTATTTTTTCTCAAGGACACGTTTTTTTTTAACAGTCTGTGCAAACTACAACAACCCATTTACAAATTCAAGGTTTTACTTACAGTAATAGTATCAATACATGCCAGGATTTTACATATATGGTTACATATAAGAATTATATGTTACATATAGGTATATGCAAACTATTTTGATTGGATCACACAGAGCCATGCAAACTTCTTTTTTTTTCACTTTTTTTCTGTGTTTCCCACAACAAATGAAAGTCTTTTCTGACGTCTCCACTTGGCTCTTCTGTTTTTAAACCAAACCTGATTGACAGAAAAGAGGCAACATTGTTGAGCTGTCATTTTATTAAATTCAGTATCTACAGTAGTCTTTATTCACATTTACATTATTAGCAGACCATCATATTTAATAAAAACAATTATGTGATGCTGCAGTGTTACCTCCACTCTCTCTTCTCTTAAGTGAGTGCGCTGTGCGAGTTTCTCTCTTGTGTTCACATCTGGGTACTGGTTCTGCAGGAACAGCTCCTCCAGCGCGTCCAGCTGTTCCTCAGTGAAAATGGTCCGGTGACGCCGGGTTCGCCTCTGTTGACTGGGTGACTGCTCCTCCCTGTGAGTGTCTCCCAGCCTGCACGAATCTGAGAGGATTGCTGGGTTCCAGCCATACTGACAAGCTGCAGGGAGGAGGTCTGATTTAAGGTTGGGGGAGCAGAATCAAGCTCAACCACAGACAAAAGCGGAAGGTATGGTCCTACCTTCGTGGATGAAGTCAGGCTGGAGTATGTCAGCACAGTGGGAGCAGTAGCAGCAGCACAGGCAGGCATGATGAACCGCCTCTGTTTGGCCTCCAGCAGGACTCACTGTCTTCTCTTTTAAGCCAAGACCACTCGCTCCGTAGGACCGTTTATCTCCACTCCTGCTCGGATACTTCAGGATGTTCTCAATAGTAAAGGGGAACTTCTGCCTCTCCATCCTGATCAGTCCACCTCCAAAGAGGTTTCAGTGAAAGCTCAAAAGCAGTGGTGATCACAGGTTATTGTGACACACACACAGAGGACTTTTCGAGCCTCAGTTGCTCTTCTCCTTCTCCTTCTTCTCTTTACAGCAGCGTGTCAAGCCCTTATAGTGAAATTGGGAGGCCAAAAAAAAAGAAGCAAAACCATAATCCCCCCCTATGGACCAGACACATAAAAACGGTTGAAACTTAATTCCTTGCTAATCTGGGCAGTTTTGTGAAGAGGTTAGGGAGGATGGCAGATTCAGTTAATCTCGCCTCATTCCTTTCTTCAAAAGAAATCAGATTTCGCTGCATAAAATGAGAAGTGGAGAGCTCCTAAGATCCTTATTGTTAAGGTTTTAGAGGAAAGGGGATTTCTTGGTATTAGAAACCTGGATTTAAAGATGAGCGTTCTTGGTGTGGCCACAGACTTGTGTATGCTGAGTCTGAGGATTAGTTCTTCAAATTCACTTCATAATGTCGCTTCCACGTATAGCTCTGTCAACAAACGATCCTGCATAAATTGGTATATTTATTTACACAAGCTGGGGCTACACTGTCAACAACAATGCAGACTTAAAGTGATTACTAAGTGATTAGGGCGCTGCAGATGATGGGGTGACTCATTTGGCCCGTGTATGTTTGCACACAGAGAGAGAAAATTCAGAGATATGGATCCATCCCAGTCGTTTGTATTCACGATCGTGCATCATGTGTCTTATCTTTGTGCTGCAGTCTTTTCAGTCTGACTTTTCTGACAATGTGCGCAGCTGAGGTAAAGCTATTACAGGTTAAATTCAGCCCCCCCACCACCACCACCTCCAACCCCGACAAATCCTGTGATTTCATACAAGGCAATACACCTTTTTTTTCCCCCTCCCAGAGAATTAATGGATTTCCACAATCTGTCCTAAGCTCCCTTTATAAGCGCTTTTTGAAAACAGATAACAATAAACACCATCTCATCCTTTTCACTCGGGTTTAATAGCATCCAGATTGTTGATGTATAGTTTGCGCAGAAAGTGAGATCCTTATCTGCAGTTATTGTGGTTCTCAATAGAAGGAATTGTACTATATCCATGTTGGTTCAAACAGTTCAAAATTCATTACTGGGGATTACAACAATAAAGATCCATTTTATTGTTGTAAGCAATATTTGGTACAAGGAGTAAAAGAGAAAAGAACCACAGCCGATGGGTGGCAGATGAATTCTTTTCCGCATTTTTAGGAGATTCAAAAATAGTATAAAACTCTTTGTCTTAAGGAAAAATCTTGCTTGATATGCTGGAATTTATTACACTGAATATCACATGAATTGTACAATGTATTTTTAAAAGTGCTTTATAAATAAAGTATGTTGGTATGGTATTATAAGGTAGTTGTGAATGAATAACTGTTCAAAATAATAATTTCATAATCATAATCATTAAAATGGACCTTGGCTCAGCACCTCTGTCAACATTCTTCTGATTGGCTGCCTCTACAATACACAGGTGGACAGGTTGACTATCTCCAGTGCAGAAGGTCTGCAGAAGTCTGGGGAGGATGTATCTACACAGCATCAGATAGTAGTCTGTAGGATGGAAATCAACAAGAGGAAGCGCGTGAAGGCAGAGGCAAGGATTAAATAGTGGAGGTTGAAAAAAGTAGAATGTTGTGCAGATAACAGATAACTGTTAAAGTGCTGAAGGAAACTGGCAAGAAGGCTTTTGCTGTATCCTCTGGGCAGAAAAGCAAGAGACTTGGTTGTGAAAATACAGGAAAGTATTTAAAGGAAGGAGTTGGCAAAGAAAAAGTGGGATAATCGAAGAGATGAAGAGAGGAGGCAGGGGTACCAGGAGGCTAGGCGTATAGCAGCAAAGAGACAAGAAAAAGGCTTTCAAAGAGTTATATTTGAGGCTGGACGCTAAGGAAGAAGAAAAGGACTCATGAGAGATTGAACTGATGGTCAGGGTGATTAAGGACAGAGATGGAAATACACAAAAAAGTGAAGAGAGTGAAGGTGAAGAAGCAAAACATAATATGTGTGTCAGTGAGAGGAAGATGGGTGTAACAGTGAAGATGCAAGGAAGAGAGGTAGTGAAGGTGAAATATCAGGCTGTACCTGGGCTCAGTCATCCAAACCAGTGGACAGAGCACAACAGAGGTGAAGATAAGAGCGCAGGAGGGTGGACCGAGAGGACACGAGTGTTAGGGGTGATTTGTGACGGAAGGATAACAGCAATAATGAAAGGATGATTAGACGACAGTGAGACCTGCTGTGATGTATGGTTCGGAGACGATGGCACTAACAATAAGACGGGAGGTGGATCTGAAGGTGGAAGAGCTGGATGCTAAGATTGTCAGTGGGAGTTATAGAGGCAAGGTTGAGATGGTTTGGAGATTTGGAGAGGAGAGATAGAGGAAAAGAGGAAAACCATAGAGCAGATTCATGGATGTAGTGAAGCAGGACATGCAGGGGGTTGGTGTGACAGAGGAGGAGGCTGGGGAGACGATGAGATGAAGGCAGATGAACCCTAAAGGGAGCAGCTGAAAGAAGAGAAGAAGATGACACTGTCTGTGTTTTATGAGAAGACTGAATAAATAAACTAAATGAGGCGGAGGGTGAATGAGACACTGTAATCATTATAATAACTTCTTTTTTGTTGTGTGACACTGCATTTGAAAGACAGAGCCTGGAAAATATTAGTTGCCACACAGAATGTTGATTTGCTTGGATGCTTCTGAGCGTGTGCGCTCTTTAGGGTTACGTGTCACAGTCTTATATTTTAAATGGCTAGTCAGACAGAAAGCGCGTGGGTGGAAAAAATGAGAAGATTAAAGGACACAAATCAAATCAGTGCACATCAGACAGGAGACACTGGATTATAAATACACCCACACACGGACTGTTGATAAACGAGCAGGGAGCTGTGCAAGGCAGCAGAACGCTGACGTGTGAAAATGCTCAGCTTCTCTGCTTGGTGCTTGGTGTTTGGACCCAGGCCCAATACCTCCTGCAGAAACAGAGATTGAATCAGGGCGACCGGGGGATCACACCCTCCTACTCTTTCTGTTTCCTCCTGAACTTGTGCAGAAAAAAAAAAAACTGTAGACATAATGCACCAACAGGGAGGAGGAATCTGGAGTACCACTCCATTGTTGCATAAAGTATTTTTTAATTGCATTGCACAATGTTTTTCTTTATTGTGTTTTTAAAAAATATATATTATATCCCCTCAAGGACCTGAAGTGGGATCTGGTGTTTAGTTTGTTTTGCTTCAAAATCATGGCGCAAGACTGAGCTTGCAAGAAAAAGATGGAATCAAAAAGGGAGTAACAGGGAAAAATTGCGCAATTTCTTTTTTTGGTCTGCTTTTTTCATTCTGCAGCTCAGGTTATAGAGACTCGCTTCCTCTTCACACTCATATTTACAATTTTATTCATTTCCCAAAAAATAAATAACAGCTAAACAGACAAAAAACACATTAAACAAATTAAAGATTCGATTTGTATCATTTTCATTTCATTTCACTGACAGCTCAAATGCACACATAAACAAAGACTTCAAGAGGTTTGTGCAGATGTTCTGCTCTTTATCACCTTTTTAATTTTTTTTTTTAAAGGAGTGCACACTTCACTGTGGATTGATCGACACAGGCCCTTAAAAGGCCTTTTCAAGCTTTTTCCAGTCACCTCTGAGGACCTGTGAAAGCTGTTGTGTTAGATGTGCACTTTGAATTTAATCATACTCTGTGTGCGTTCATGTAGGGGGAGGGACGCCCCTCCAGCCCATGCTTCCAGTTTCACCTCTTACATTTGGGACACTTGACTTCAGCAGTTGGAGAAATCTGTAGCACAGGGGTTTTGGTTCACTTAATATTTTTTTTATCCCTGCACCTTAATTGATTACTCGTGTACTCAATAAAGACATGAGAATAAAAGCACTGAGTACCTTATTGATTGTGTTTGTCTATAACTGTGACTTAGATGAAGATCTGACAACGTTCAGTAATAAATGCAGAAATCCTGTAGGTTATATGCCAGGGTTTCCTTACCTTTTTGACTTTTGACTCCTTAAAATGAAATAAAGTCTACTTGAGACCCCCAATCACAGGTTAACCTATAGAGATGCCTCAGTATGGTGATGACATTAAGGAAAGCCTAGGGTGCCAAAATAACTTAAGTAAGTACATCATTAAATAATGAATGAAATGTGTCTTTAATTAATAAAATATTAGGTGATTAGCTCCCAACAAACTAAACAAAGAGCACTTCTAATCTCCCACGCTAATCTGAAATCCGTGTATGTATGACTTAAAACATAAATACACATAAATCCTACATGTACAGTTTTACAGTATATTTGAATGCAACTTTTCCAGCTAGGTAAATATTGTAAGCCAGAAATTAAGCTAACAAAAGCTCCGAGGACTGCCTTCCCACAGAGTCAGCCGGCATCTTTCCTGCCTTTATTGTAGCTGCATTTTCTTTTCTTTGTGGAAGTAGCTTGTTGCTTTGTACTGTGTCAACATTTCCTCTCTTGGGAGCTGTTTAGGTGCAGGAAAAGTGGCGAATGTTAACATGCACTTGACCCACAATGGCAGTCTTTTGTGCTTTCTTCATAACCACTTTAGAAAAGTGTGTGCCCTGCAGTGTTGACTTCTGAATACTAGAGGTAGTCTTCATGTGGTAAACTGTCTTAACTAGATTGTTGATTTGTGTATCTGTGGTTTTGCATATTTTTCTCTTCCAGGTGTTGTGCTTTTCTAATTATGTTCTATCATTTTATTATATTCTCTTCCCTTTTCTTTTTTCTTCCAGACTTTCCCCCAATGTGCCAGCTTTGATATTGTTATAATACACATTAACCAAGTAATAATAATAATAATAACGACAATTTATATATATATATATATATATATATATATATATATAAGGGGTGCAACGATACACAAGATTCACGGTTCGATATTTTTTCAATACAAAAAAAAAAAATGTTCATGCCTTTTTAATTTGTCATTTATTAAAATTATAAATATATATTTTAACTCAAAAGTACAGTTTTTAAATTTAATGTTGCTGAAACAACAAAGTAATAAAAAAATAAATATATCTGATTGAGGAATCACTCATCTTTGGAAAAGAGAGTTTATTACAGAGAAATGGTTCTTTCCAAAATAAAAGCTATACTATACGCTTCTTCTGGGCTATATTCTCAGCAGCATATTAAACATATCAGGTCCCCATAAGGAGAATCGTGTGCTAACGGCTGTCTAAATGACTCGGGTAAAGTTTGTAGCATGCTTGTTGTTTTTGTCTTTGCACTAGGATGATGTCAGAGTAAATGTGCAGTCACATTCGTTTTGTTCCCACTAGTGCTGTCAGCGTTAATCTGAAATGATTTTAACGCCACAACACGGCAAATCTCCATTAACGAGCTACTGCGGATCGCCCAGTGCGTGGGGCTGGACGGCCAACACGTTAACGAGCTAACTGCGCTAACGCACTAGCTCCCACCAATGTAATTGAGCATTGCATGGCACATCCAACATACTGTTTTACTTTTGTCCATGACGTGCTTACCTTCAGGGTAATATCAGAATCAGAATCAGAATCAGAATACTTCTGATTCTGATATTACCCTGAAGGTAAGCACGTCATGGACAAATAATAATAATAATAATACGCCACATGAAAACCAAAATAGTTCCAACGCCACATCTCTCCTGTCTGGCTAGCTTGCCCTGCGCTCAGTGAATCTGCGTTTGATTACTCCACCTAGGCTGCAATGTCTAGCGCAGATCCACTGAGCGCTCAACACAGACAGCATCGTCAGAAGGAAAGTTGATAAATAAATAAAAATTTTGTATTGTTCGATACATATGCGTACCGAACCGAAACCACTGTATCGAACGGTTCAATATCGATACGAATATCGTTGCACCCCTAATATATATATGTATATATATTTATTAGGGGTGCAACGACAAACTTTACCCGAGTCATTTAGACAGCCGTTAGCACATGATTCTCCTTATGGGGACCTGATATGTTTAATATGCTGCTGAGAATATAGCCCAGAAGAAGCGTATAGTATAGCTTTTATTTTGGAAAGAACCATTTCTCTGTAATAAACTCTCTTTTCCAAAGATGAGTGATTCCTCAATCAGATATATTTATTTTTTTTATTACTTTGTTGTTTCAGCAACATTAAATTTAAAAACTGTACTTTTGAGTTAAAATATATATTTATAATTTTAATAAATGACAAATTAAAAAGGCATGAACGTTTTTTTTTGTATCGAAAAAATATCGAACCGTGACACCAAAGTATCGAACCGAACCGAACCGTGAATTTTGTGTATCGTTGCACCCCTAATATATATATATATATATATATATATATATATGAAAATAAAGAAATGTGACAAAGATGACACTGGTAAACTGCAACAGCTACTATTCTGTAACATCTCTAACAGGAAGAAAACTCAATGGCTCCCTTCAAAGCATCCTATGTCACAAGACATTAAAGCTGTACAATGTTCCCACCACTAACACATGACCCTACGCTGTGTTCACTGCATCATTCCATGTTTGGCACTGATCACCACCTGCACTCATGTATATATCATGTATATATCTATCTGTCTACTTAGCACTTTTAATTCTTATTCTCATTTTTATTTTCATGTCTATTTAAGCTTAATTTATAACAGTATTTATAACAGTATGTTTGCACTGAAGCACCGCAGCAATTTCCTAATGTTGTAAACCCACTCAACATTTGGCAATAAAACCCTTTCTGATTCTGATTCAATAATCATAAAAAAATTCAAATAACAGACTTTCTGATAAAAGTTTATATTTAAAAAGAGGTTTCAAAAAGAAAGACACATTTTTTGAAATTTATTATTGTTATTATTAAGCATACATATTAAAGCTTCCCCGCTCAATAGTTCAGGGCTGACAGGTGACGTGCGCCCCCGTGTGGCGGAAGCCTGCAGTGTTGACAGCAGAGCGGCACGGCACGGCGCGGCAGGCGGCCCGCCACTCGCGATAACACGCGCTAGCAGCAGCTGCTGGGCGGAAAAGGCGGGAGAAGACTGCCGCTTCCGCGTCCGCGCAGCACAGACGACGCTGGGCAAAATGGACGATAAGTTAATATTGGCTGTATTTAATTACCCGGAGCTTTACAACGTTACACTGCCGAATTACCGCTGCACAGAAAGTCGGACAAATTCCTGGAGAAGCATCAGCATGGAGCTGGGACTTCCGAGTGAGTGTGCCGCTTGTTTTTTCTGTTCGCTACAACTTTAATGGCAGTTATTATTTGTTCAGCTGTTTTCGGTGCGGAGGGCTGAAAGGACGCGAAATGTTAACTGCGCTTTTCTGAGAGCTGCGGCTGTTTCTCACACTGACCTGGGGGCATCTGTAATGGTTTTTGTGTTTCTCTGCACGGCTGACCTGCGGTGTGGATGCAGTCGCGCGCACCGTGCTAGCGGTAGCGGCTCGCTCGCACGCCGCCGTCGTGGGCCCGAGGTGCGCAGGCCGCGCTGCACCGAACCGCACGGTCCCGCTCCTCCGCGCTCCCCGCCGCGTGCTCAGCACCGCGCGGCGGAGGAAAGAAGATATTTGCGCTCCGGTACGGAGTCGTAGAGCCGCGTGCCTCTTTCGAAAGCTCGTGGGCAGGGAGAGCCCCCAGCCTCAAATACAAGCAGGTGCACTGCTTCGCGGCCAAGGGGTGAACTCATGACCTCCAGACTTTGCAAGGAAAAAGGAGCACAAATAAAAATTGTACAAAGAGATGAAAGTATCGTCAAAGCGCGTCACTTTTCTTTATAAAGAAAAATTCTAAAAAAGAAAAGAAACGTCCTTTATTCTCCCTCATTGGGCAAATTCAGGTGTTCCAGTAGCAAAGTGACAGACATGGAAAGTCACTCAAAAGTAAAGAATACAAAATTTAAAAAGGAAGAAGAAAGAAATAAGAGGCAAAGAGTTAACCTGGAGTGCCTGGTGAGAAATTTGACCCTCCCCTAGACTAAACCGCATGAGATAAATATAATTCCTTTTGTTTATTAAATGGCTGTAAATATGTTACTTCAGGTTCACTGTCTTAAATAAAAGCACAACTAAGCATGGGTATAAAAACAAACAAACAAACAAAAACAACAACAAACCACCTAAAAAGGCCATTTCTGGGCCAGGTAAAACTCTGGTCTAGTATAAAAACACACACTCACCAGTGTTGTTAGGTACAGACATGAAAGTATGGATCCATGCCACCTTGTACCAACACTTCAGGCTGATGGTGCTGTAATGAGGTGGGAGATGTTTTCTTGGCGCACTTTGAGCCCCTTGGTATCACCTGAGCAATGTTACATGGTAAATGGCCTGTATTTATATAGCGCTTTACTAGTCCCTAAGGACCCCAAAGCGCTTTACATATCCAGTCATCCACCCATTCACACACACATTCACACACTGGTGATGGTAAGCTACATTGTAGCCACAGCCACCCTGGGGCGCACTGACAGAGGCGAGGCTGCCGGACACTGGCGCCACCGGGCCCTCTGACCACCACCAGTAGGCTACGGGTGAAGTGTCTTGCCCAAGGACACAACGACCGAGACTGTCCAAGCCGGGGCTCGAACTGGCAACCTTCCGATTACAAGGCAAACTGCCAACAGCCATTCATGCTACATTAAAGCAGATAATGAATTATATATGACAGAAAAGGTCCTGTTTTTTACTGTCTACTATAAAAATGTTGGTTAAAACAAAATTTTCATCAATTGCGAAAAACTGCCAAAACTTTTTTTTTTTATATATACACATTTATCATGTTGAAAAACTGAAATGTGGTGTTGAAATGACACTTCTTTATTTCATAGTAAGATATCTTAAGGATTAAATGTGCAATTAAATGTCTTTACACTGACAAAAATAGTTTTACTGGGCCACTTAAGATCAAAGTGGGCTGTATGTGCCCCTCGATGCAAAATGACTTGACTGATCAAGTCAGCAGTGGTAGGCTTTACTCTAGAGATGAGGGGAAAAAAATCAGTTCAATACAGTAGGTCTGCATCATTTCAGATAATTTAATTATAAAAAAAATTCTCGACAGATATTAAGGCACGGCTTTGTAGCACGCAGATGGGCTAAACGATGTAAACGCGAGCATTTCACCCACATTTGCAGCTAAGAATAGACCTGCAATGCAAACAGATTTAGGAGCATGTGAATAAAAAGTTTGACAACATTAAGCCCACACAGCCCCCAGTTTTAAACAGAAACACTGTATTACACGTCAATACAATTAAAGGTTTTAGTTGTTGTTTTGACAGATGTTGTATTCAGTTTTTAAATATTTCTAAAATGGACAGCAATGAGCAGTTCATTTCAAAAGACCATTGTTTTACTCTTCTGAATATTTATTATTGCTCATTAAGAAATGATCCTGTGGCTTCTTGCTTCTTACGTTCTGATGTTCTACTTTTCAAGCCGAGGATTGCAAAAGAAGATGGAAGAACATGAGAGACAGGTACCTGAAGGAGGTCCGAATGGAGCTTAAAAGCAAGAAGCAGGGAGAAAACGTTCAAAGCAAATGGAAATACAGACAACTTATGAACTTCATTGCGCCATTCACTGGGTCAAGAAGTGGACTGCAGGAAATCTCTGCCAACAATGATGAGGACCACGACAACCCTGAAGACTCTAGCAACGTGGATGGAGAAACCGCTTTGTCAGAGGCAATCAAAACACCACAGAGTGCTGTAAAGGTCCCCGCGAGTCTGCCCGACCTCAAACCACAGGTGACATTTGTAACGCAGCTTCCTCCAGCGACTCAGGACACACAGGTGGCTCAGCTGGCTGTTCTGGCCAAGATACCATCACCCCCACAGGTCTCGCCTGTCACTGGCGTTACTGGACAGAAACGGAAACCGGCCCAAGAGCCGCCGTCTGCACCTTCCTCCCAAAGTACGCCCATGCCGACAAAATGGTTGGTCAAAGACAATGTCCCCTCTTTTCCCACTAAGCCGCGGGACGAGGATGAACTGTTCCTGCTGAGCTTTGTTCCCGCTCTGAAGAGACTCGCTCCACAGAAGAGGTGCGAGACGAAAATAAAGATCCAGCAGATTATGTACGAGGCAGAGTTCAACGTTACACATTCAGCGTCTCAAGAAAAGAAGGTGGAGACAGAAACACAGCACTGATTACATTTAAACTTTTAAAAAAATACTTTATTGTATTTCTTTTATATAAACTTCTGCCACAGAATTAGTAAAAGTGGTAGATATTGAAGAAATTTTTTATGTGAAGTACGGTAGTTTGTTTCCCCCTGATTAGTGTATTTATTAGGCAATAAAGACTTAGAGGCAATGAGGTCATTAGATTTACACCATAAACAGACAGTTAATCTTTATTTACATAACTTTATCAATAGATTTCAAACATATTTCGAAAAAGCTGTTTCTTAGTCAGTCTTAATTTTTACTCTAATAATTACAGTATTTTACATGTAATTACAATTGCATACAGTAAACTGATGAGAATAAATGCGTAGGTGAACACTGTTTAATGAATGACTCTTTCTGCTTACATGCTTCTTTTTAAATCTAAAATAAAGATTCTTGTATTCTGAAAAAGTGTCCGTTTGAAGTCACCCTCAGCTATTTAGTGGGATTTATGCTCTGATCGGGTAATTTCATTTCGAGCAGTTCCTGGACAGATGTTTTTTTTAAGGTCACTACCATCTGTAAAGGTCGACACACAGTTCAACAGCTTCAGATTACATTTAAGTAATTTTGTTATGTTGCAAAACTCAGTTAAAATAATCACTGGATCCCCAAAGTATGTCCCAAAGGACATGCTCATTGTTACTGTAGCCAAATAACTTTAACTGCAAAGTGCATCAAGCCAAAAGTCCTGTTTGGCAAACTGTTTTTTCTTGTCTTTTCCCAGCATGCCTTCCATGCAGAATAAAGTTCTGTTTTCTCTTTCTGGCTGTAGACCCATACACTATGTCGCCATCACTAGCAAGACTAAACCACTAATTGTGTGATGAAACTTTGGGGTTTCTGAAAACTTTTTTTGCAACAAATGATCAGCACTGAGGTTGACCTTGTTTCAGTGACCAGACCCAGGAAAAAAAATTAAATACAATTCCAAATAATCTGGAGATCTTTAGATTTAGATGGCAACAATAATAACATACACTTCAATAAATTTAAACACTGTACATTTCACTCATCAGTCCCTAAAGAATGTTTGTATAAAACTTTGAACTGCTTTTATAAGTAGGATCATTTTGCTTTTTATTATTTATAGCATGAAAATGACAAAAGTTCAGTTATGTGTCATTTGTTTATGTATAATCACATTTATTGCAAGGGGGGGGGGGGAGAAGTATGAAAGCAGAATCACAGATGTGTCAGATCTCTTGAGTTTTATGCAATTAGCAGCCAAAACATGATCACGAGAGCCACAAAGAGGAAGAGTCGAGACAGAAACTGCTCGTCCGTGTGCTGCGGTGTCCCCGGAGCCGCTGCTTGGGAAATTGTTTTACAGGAGGTTATTTGACATGCTAAATGCTTGGAGCGGTCATAGTGATGTGTGACAAACAAATACCTGGAGGAGGTCTTCCATCATTGATGTTAAAAGCTGTTGCAAAAATACCAAACGGAAAGGCACCGATCCCAAACGACATTTGGAAGCCTCCATCTCCAAAGCCAAATCCCTGAAAACCCTGTAATACGTATCATCAAAAGTTACGAAAGTCTGAGTTGCCTTAATGAGCAGACGTGTCTTTGCAATATCTGAGGTACAGTTTAATGTACAGCAAGTGAGACGTGACGCAACAGCAAGTGCCAAATGATATCATTCTCTGGAGACGCGCTGGCTCTCCACACTTATTATCCAACAGATCCCGGTGGGGAATGTCAGTCTGTTAATGGATACAGCAAACCTACATCACTGTATGCAATGGTTTCATCATGAATTCATAATATTGCTGGGCAGCTTACAGGGCTATAAAACACTACACTATGTCTAAATTCTTTTTAAAAAGAGCTTAAAATTTGGCATACTTCAGGATGATAATAAAAATATACCAGGGCTCTAGACTAACTTCTTGCTGCGGTTGCACTGGTGCGCTTAACATTTTTTTTAGGCACACCAAAATTTTTCAACTGCATCGCTTAACACTAAAGTTTTACCTGTTTGCTGCTGCCTGCTGCTGAAAGGCAGAGGGGGGGAGAGGGGACACTTGGGCAGTGCATTTATCGCAGCATATGTGTTTCCTGGGTACACTGTGCTTTTTCAGAGTTCAGAGATTGATGGCTCCGTGTCAGAGCACTGGCTATGAATTTCAGACGGATCAGGCCTTAACTTAACAAAAAGGTTATCAATCGTTCTTTTGATCTTTTCTGTGTGGTGTGTAAGCATCACTGCAGATGCCTTTGTGTCAAAGTAACTGAGAATAAAACACAGAAAAACATGAAGATTTTCCTGGCCTGGCTTTTTATAGCAGATAACCTTAAAAATATTCTGCAATTTTGCACAATTTTAAAAAGTCTAAACTTCTTCAGTATTGAACAGCAGAAATTAGGCTTTCTTGACAGACAGCAGCCGACAGCGCTGTAAACAACAGTAGACTGGCGGGTAATAATAAGCGAATGAATAATGCATAAAACAGAGATTTGAGATGGGAAACTGTTCTTGAAGTACACTTTGGTCGCACTCTAGAGCCCTGTATACTGATCTATAGTACTTACCCCACGGTTTTCTGGCTCGGGCCTTTGTCCTTGTGGTCGTGGGGGTGTTTTTTCTCTGTAAAACATAACCAGAATTACCCAAAATGACTCCAAATCACTAATATTTAATACTATCTAATTATCACAGTCACCAATTTTACCCACCTTGGATCCTGTTGACCTGTACTTCCGCGCCCATATATGGGGATTACTTTATCTCGGCTGATACCAGCTTTGCATACTGGACACACTTGTCTGTTGGGTCGAGTCTCCAGCCACTACAAAATTTAAAAAAAAAAAAAAAAAAAAAAAAAAAAAAGTGAAGAAGCTAATCGCTTCCTTTATCTGTAACGATGTGCTGCTTCTGGTGGAGTGCAAAAACAAGAGGAAACAACGGTTTCAGCTTACCTGATGCAAACAAGGCCAGCTAATCAGGAGGAGATGCAAATGAAGATGGGAGAAGCTTGATTAGTTAGATATTAAATGTCCTTGAGCACCTATGAGTCACAAAGCAGGAACTTAAATTTGAAAATTTAACTTAATTTTGCCCAGAAGGGGTGTACTACAAAGCATGTTCTACAGGGTCAGGCTTTCTTTGCTTTAGGCCGGGATTATGCTTTCTGTGTCTGTAAGTCTGCTGGGGTTTGCTTGGATCCTAGTAATGTAAAGTTCATCTTGCATGCTTGGGTATTTTTGTGAACACAAAAGACTCATCCAGTGAGAATTTACACCCCAGTGCACCAACTACACAGGCATTCCAGGTGGCTTCAAAGTAGTATAACAGGAACGACTACTCAACCAGCAGGTCTCCAGCTGTCTGTGTACACAACAGGTACACTGTGTATACTACAGGAATAAAGATATATCAAACATAATAAAACTGCAGAAAGGACCGCTGGAGCTGCAAAAGTGTCAGATGACAGAGTTGTTGTGAATTCACAAGTTGATTTATTTCTTTTAGCACTCCTGGAGCTGCTGCTTATTTGTGACAGGACAGCTGCACATTGCTTTCAGAGCCCTTGGTGTTGTCAGGTCAGGTCAGTGTCACAAAGCCTCATGAAGAAGATCTGGTAATCACTCAGTTTGTGGCCTAATCAAAGGGAAGTATATTTGACTGATTTAATATTCTCTGTGATAAAGAGCTTACAAATAAAATGTCCTTCTGACTGTTCTTGTTTTTCAGGAGTTCACCATGCATATTTGATTTTGCACAGATTTCATAACAACGGCCAACCCTGGCTCAACCGTCCTAATATTCGTGGGAGTGCACGAGCTTGTGAACCCCCAGGGCTCGGTTTGTGCCTCCTCCCCATCTCATATCAGAGAGAAACTTCACACACTGTAAAGCCACTTAATAGCCCACAAATACACTGATGAATTTTCTAAAACAGGCTTGGCAACTAATCAGAACTAAGAATCAAAGCACGTTTCACCAACTGAATGCATGATGCATGGTTTGCTTCATTTGACAGTGTTAGTAAGGTGAAGGACCACAATTAGGGCAAATGTGATACTTATTTAAAGCAAAACTCTGAATATAACCTGTTATGAACCAGGTTGTGTGTTCAGCGTAAGTTACCAAAGTGATCGAGCCACATCTGAGACACTTCACTTTATAGCACACCCCTTGGCTATTCTGTGTGGACCGAGGTTGGCCTGTATTACATTTGCAGAGGCTCAGAAGTGGAGGTGAACTCAAACCATCCCTGTTTACATGTTGGATGTCACACTGCACATCTGAAATTTTGTAGGACCTGCCTCACAATTTACTAATAAACAGGCAACATTAACTACTACTATTAACTTCTACCAAAACTTAGCATTTCCGTTCAGTGTTTGCCAAGTATGATGTGATAAGTTATGCATGCTTGGAAACGATCTCGTCATGTCTGCCAGTTACAAACCGATATTGGTCTTTAGGAGCTATGCTGATGTGTCCCCGACTCACCTGTGGCTCACAATTAAAAATATAAACATGTGTCACAGACAGCAGCACGCTTCTTACCAGAAGAGGTGTCCACATAAACTAATCACGGCGTCCTTGGCGGTGTCCAGGCATATGTTACATTCAAAGGTGCTGTCCTGGTTGCCACTGTCAGCGGCAGCCGAGCTACTAGATCCGGGACTTGCGTTTTCAACGCCCGGAGTCGGAGGAGCAGCGTTGGCCATTTGTCACACAGCTTAAATCCTCTAAACAAGTAGCTGGGGTGACTACAATGGCATCCGGGGTCTCAATACATACACATAAAGAGGTCCAGTGGCCAGGAAGTGGGGCTAACGAGAGGAGAAAGGAGTGAAAACAAACAAAAATACCCTGCTGGAAGAAACGTCCATGTCGAACATTTACGCTAACGTTAGCAAACAAGGAAAACTAAGCACAAAACGACAGTTTCACAGAGATTAACCAACAGCTGAGCGACAGATGTTAAACGGTGTCACTCAGAAAATGATTGGATGGTGAGTGACACTCATAATTTGTTGTGAGGAGTCTAGAAAATAGCCTTACAGACCTTTGCATCACTCTTTCAGCAACGCCACTTAACCGGTAGTAGATCCCTGGAGGGGGCGTGGCTAAGACTGAATCCGTGGGATTTTGTGGCCCTCAGTTAGGCCTTTCAGGTGAACCTGACAAAAGGTTCCACCACTTTTAAGCAGAGCTTTAAATGGTAAATGGCAGAGGTGGGACCAAGTCATTGTTTTGCAAGTCTCAAGTAAGTCTCAAGTCTTTATCCTCAAGTCTCAAGTCAAGTCTCAAGTCAAGTCTCAAGTAATGTCAGGCAAGTCAGAGTCGAGTCTCAAGTCACTGGTGTAAAAGTCCGAGTCAAGTCACAAGTCTGAAACTTTGAATTTCAAGTCCTTTCGAGTCTTTAAAAAAAAAAAGAAAAAATAATGTTGCAGTTATGCTAAATGTAAATATTAGACCATGTAATTTTAAAATCTGTGTTTTTCTCAACACATGACAAAATAGTGAACTTAGAAAATATACACAAATTGTGAAATTGCACCTCTTTAAAATGCAGCTCAATTAAACCTAGCTCCAAGAATAATTTTCACCGACAGTTCTGAGATAAGCTGCATGTTATTCTTGGATGCGGTTGTAGGACCAGCTTTAAAATCGCATGACAAAAATATCATACACATTAAAAAAAACTGCATCACCAACGTAGCCTGGAAAACATTTGCTAGTTAGATGAAGTCAGCTATCTCATCTTAGCATATTTATATGCATATTTATAATCATACGGTTCTTGGAGTGAGTGCATACACTCATGAAGTTTAGTAACTTCAGGTCACTGCAACAAGCCCAGGTACAGTTTACCGACGGATGGGTGCAGGACCTTGAAATGCACCGTGTAGAACGAAAGACCATCGTACGTATCATAAGTTTACCAGTCTCACAAATTGTCATCATAAATACACATTCCTTAACCGTTTATTAATAGGACCTTTGAGCTCAACGGTAATTAATTAGTAGTGGAAATAATTTCTGGTAGCATCACAGAAATGTAGCAGTGACAATAATATTGGATGCTGTAATCGTACTGGGCAATTAGTGATACAAAACAACTGTTTTATCCTGTGAATAAAAGTATATATTTTTGTCAATGTACCATAATAACAGAAGCGAAACGCAATATTGTGTCAGGACAATTCACTATTTATGCACAATAAATAAAGGAGCATAGCGTGACAATTTCTGTTCAGCGCCAGACTTGCTTGTAACCTATATCACTAATTATGTTATGAAAATGACGTATTAACTACTAAAAAACACTGACCTTCGTGTAAATGCTTGGAGCAGACTAACCTGTGAGCTGGAGTGTTCTGGGACGTTATATTTGATCTTTGAATGGCTGCGATCCAGGCCATCCGTCGCCTCTTTGTTACTTCGGAAACATGGCTCAAACAATTTCTCTTCAACGACGTAATCCGATAACAACCGATCTCTTTACCCGTCAGCTTCTCGTGGCTGTCATGCGACCGGCTATTGCAGTTAATAATACAACGGCTTCTTGACATTTTTGTGTTTCTTTTTATCGCTGTATAACTGATTTCAATTGAAAGCCTGCGTGCGCTAGTACCGCTTGCCACGAGTTCCCAGAATCCTTTGCGGTTCTACCCGTGAATGACGTCACATTTTCAATCTCTATATAATATGCATGTTAAATTTTATACTTGGGGTAAAATATCAAGTCTTTTCAAGTAAACCGGTTCAAGTCCAATTCAAGTCCCAAGTCATTGGTGTAAAAGTCCAAGTCAAGTCACAAGTCTTAGAACATTTTTTCAAGTCAAGTCTAAAGTCATAAAATTAATGACTCGAGTCCAAACCTCTGGTAAATGGTAAATGGCCTGTATTTATATAGCGCTTTACTAGTCCCTAAGGACCCCAAAGCGCTTTACATATCCAGTCATCCACCCATTCACACACACATTCACACACTGGTGATGGTAAGCTACATTGTAGCCACAGCCACCCTGGGGTGCACTGACAGAGGCGAGGCTGCCTGACACTGGCGCCACCGGGCCCTCTGACCACCACCAGTAGGCAACGGGTGAAGTGTCTTGCCCAAGGACACAACGACTGAGACTGTCCAAGCCGGGGCTCGAACCGGCAACCTTCCGATTACAAGGCGACCTCCCAACTCTTGAGCCACGATCGCCCCAAGATGTGGACATTTTGTGAAAGTTTGGTCTCATTTAACTGTGAAGAAGAGGTCAGAGGTCTAAAGTAACGTGATATTTAAAATCCCCATATATCATTTGCTGCATGCCTATGTTGTCAATCAACATACAATGGCAGTAAAAAAAACAGCAAATAGCTCCATATGGCATTATTATCACTTTGACCTTCAAATCAGTCTATAGACCTTGAAGGAGAAGTCAGAGTTCAAATGTGACCTGATATTTAAAATCTTCATGCAGTACTCTCTATATACACCACACATGTAAGAATCATAGTTTGTAAGTTAAAAGGCATTTTATCAATTTTTGACCAATAAATCATTTGCTTGACCTTGAAGACCCTAGTGGATGAAAGTCAAATTTTAATGGATAGTTAACATGACCTCACTCTGGACCCCTACAAAGTTTGATCAGAATAATTAAAAAAATTCGAGCTCTTGAATGAACTGAATGACACGCACGCACACAACCGCTACCAAAGACATAACCTTCTTGGCAGAGGTAAAAACTATCTACAAAGAAAAATAATCTGCAGGAACTTCAAAGTCAGGTGATAGTTTGATTTTTACTGAAAAAATGAATACAGGTACACTTAATATTTATTAATTAAAAGTACAAATATAAGTAATACAGTAATTTAGAGCAGACTTCCTTGACTGTACTTTGAAATGTAAGTCTAAGTAGCTTGGAAAGAAAAGCGTCTGGACTAATCACACGAGCTAAGGTGTGAAAATGGGTGCAGGTCGGGTGTAAGTTTGAAATGTAAGAACTTTGACAGAAGAAAGTGACAATAAAATACTACTATTTGTCAAGTTCCCTTTAAGGGAGACTGAGTGTGTATCTTTTTTTCAGTATTTTATTACATTCATTAGTGAGTCCACAGTTTTTGGCACTCATATTAATATTCATATTAATATTTACATGCATCACTTTGCTCCTCACAGTTCATCCATCTTCCCATTTTCTTGTGCTTATCCATTTCAGGCCTGAAGCCTTTCCAAGCTGCCAGGGAGCGAGAGGCGCAGGTACACCCAGGCCAGGTCACCCATCTATCGCAGAGCTAACAATGCAGTACAATAAGTAAACTTAAAATATAAAATTCAAAGGAAACATGACAATAATCAATAAGACAAGACAGTCATTCACACACACAAAAATACCTGAGCAAAGATATGCTTTGTTTAACCTGAATGGATTAAGAATTAATAGCAATTTCCCAGATTTCTGCTTGTCTGAATAACCGATTGTGATCACTTTGTCTTGAAATGTGATATTGTGCAAAAATCTATTAAAGTTACCATAATAACCTGTTAGTTCAACATTCAATATTATCAGTGTCATTGAGAACGGTAATCATATTTATGCACTGTGATGTACTCCTTAGTAAAAACTCTAATTTAGGCCAGTTTCCATTGTTTTGGACCTTGAGTGATTGAGACCACCTGTACGAATATCCTCTGCCAGAGCATCCTCAATCCTTGATGATAAAGACCGCCTTAGGGTTTTCTTAAAGTCATTGCCGATGAACACATAGAGAACTGGAGATAGGAAGCTGTTTGCTGCAGCCAAGGTGGCCCCAACTTTTAGTCCAGTTTTAATGACCTCCAGGTTGTGTTTCTTAAAGTCTATCTCCAGCAGGACAAAGGTGTGGTAGGGGACCCAGCAGGCGAAGAAAGACAAAATGAGCGCAGCCATGATTTTGTACGGCTTTGTTGACTTGTGGGTCAGACTTCTGAGCTTTATGGCAAGCACAGAGCAACAGAAGACAATCATTAGGATAGGAATCAGGAACCCACAAATGAAACGGGTCAGTACCACCGCTTTATGTCTGACCCCATAGTCCGTGTGGCACTGAATGACCGAGCCGTGGACCGTGGTTTTCCTGTACATAAGTGAGGGCACTGTTAAGAATGCAGAAAGAACCCACATGAGGATGACGGCTCCAAAGGCTTTTCCTACTTTGCGGTGGTTGTGCGACCACACAGGAAATAAGACCATGATACAGCGGTCAGTGCTGATGAGAACCAACAGGAACACACTGCTGTGCATGTTGAGAAACAGGGCAGATGAGGCGAGCTTGCACAAGCCTTCTCCAAAGGGCCAGTGTGAAGTTATCATGTACACAACTTCGAAAGGCAACAAGGCACAGAACAAAAAGTTTGAAATGGCCAGGCTGATGTACCAGATGGTGATGACTGTGGTTTTCATTTTCCATCCACAAATCCAAATCACCAGGGAATTTCCTGCAAGCCCCAAAACGCATATGATGATGTTGACTGCCACCAGAGCATAAGTTGAAGAGGACGAGGCGCTATATAAATTTAGGGTTCCTTCAGTGGTGAGGTTGCTATCGATGTCTGCGGTGTAGTTATCATAATCAAAATACTCCACGTCCATGATTGTTCCTGAAATATATGGAACCACGACTTTTAAAAATACAAACATTTACACATATAAGCTTTAAAATTATAGGTTATAAATAACACAAAGTTTTTTTATAGAGAAAAAGATACTTACATAGGGATTTTATGTCTCGTGTGAAAATAGAGAGTTTAAAGTTGCTTGTGCCGTTGGGTGGACTTTCTCACTTCTGTTTCTTGGGCAGTAGTACTCAGTAAGTACTGACGTAGGTATTTTGCAACAGGAAACTAGAAGAGAAAGGGAAAAAACTGCTGTAATATCCAAAAAGAGATATCCTCCAAAACTTAGGCAAAAAAATATCACATTTCTTGACCAGGATTGTGCCTACAGATCATTTTAGTGGAATGGAAGTTATTGTGTAAAACTGTAATCTGTGGTTGAGCTCGCATTAGACCTCATA